TGGTTCTCACGGCTCATTTTCTTCCAGTTGTTTTACTATGGCTTACAAAAAAATTGGTTTCTCGACAATGAGATAATGAATTCGTCTCTACTTTTTTTTCATTTGTTACATGAAAGCATGCGCATTTGATGGTTATTCCCAATTTTAGTTAAACTGATGCAATCTCGAGTTAGAGAGTCACACGCAAAACTTTTCAGCACCCCCACGTACATTAGGCATAAGAGCAACTATCTATCTAGATCTTTGTCAGTACAACAAAGCACTGGATGACATTATTATAGTATTAAAAATCCAATCAAATGGATCTCTTTATAAACAGCTGTCTTCTCTGTTTAATCAATTAAAAACACAACACTATCAGAATCAAGACTTACTATTAAATTTTAAAGGACATCAAATTGGAAAAGTTGGAGCCATGGTTTTAACAAAATTTTTAAAATTAAATTTCTCTCTGACTTCTTTGAATCTCTGTTATAATCAAATTGGAGCAACAGGAGCAACAGCTTTAGCAAAGGCTTTAGAATCAAATTCCTCTCTGACTTTTTTGAATCTCAATGATAATCAAATTAAAGATACAGGAGCAACAGCTTTGGCAAAGGCTTTAGAATCAAATTCCTCTCTGACTTCTTTGAATCTCAATAACAATCAAATTGGAGATATAGGAGCAACAGCTTTGGCAAAGGCTCTAGAATCAAATTCCTCTCTGACTTCTTTGGATCTCCATTGGAATCAAATTGGAGATACAGGAGCAACAGCTTTGGCAAAGGCTTTAGAATCAAATCCTTCTGTTACTCTTTTATATTAAATTAATTATACTCAATTTTTAGAAGCTACTCTTCATTTTTTCAGAGAATAAGAGTAGAGGGGATGCAGTCTTTCATAAGTTATAATTCTTGAAGTACACAGAAGTGATTTAATAGTAAATTATGTTTTTTTTCTGTTCAGGAGGAGATGGTAAGATAGTTGGCATGTCATATTCAAGTCATTCATTATTATTACTACTTGCTACAGATAGTCTACTAAATGTAAATGAATGTGTAACAACAATTTAAATAAAATTAAAAAGCTTTCCTTGATTTAAGACTCATTTGTGTACTAGTGCTAGTGAATTTTTTACAGTATAAGCAGAAGCACTGTATGTGTTAGTATAACTCATAGGTATTATTTATTATTATGTTATATGTTACTCAAAAATCATGTACTAGTACAGTAATTGTCTTTTTTTGCCATCACTAATATGTTACATAATACCGTCAAAATGGTCAAATGTTCAAAAAAAACAGTATTTAATTTGTAAACATTCGTTAGAAATGATACTGATTGAATATGAACTTGACGTTATTAACTTTACAAAAATATGTTAATGTAATAGTCACTCAAACCGACCCTTTTACTTTCACATTATAGATTTGAAGCGTGCATAACTTTTGAATATATAGAATACCTTGAGACATATTCAACATGGCCGGCATGTATTTTCTCTCGTATTAGTATTGACGCTGCTTATTTCTGTACATCGGACCGCCCTTTTTGCCCGTCGTTTAGCACATTTTTCAACACGTATGAAACTACGTGAGGCAGAAAAAATAAGACGACAGGTGTGTAATCGATTGGACGTAGAGACACATTAAATCAAATCCAGATATGGTATAAAAGACTTGGGGGTAATTTATGCAATGATAATCAATCCCACACAAAAGTTACCATAAAAGTTTTTTGTCGATCGCTACCTTGCACTATTACGATATTCATCAAAATTGGTAGGGGGCCAAGAAGGTATTCGTAATAAGACTGGGGAGGTATGCTGGGCCACATGAGAGAACGCTAATCCATAATTTGACTACACACAAACCATGATCTTATTCGCATCAGGTTTCCCTCTCGATCATTCTCGCTTGCGGCGTGTTACACAAACAAGTGCGCACTTAAATTTTAATTTGGGTATCACATATTCGGATGTACAGTATGCACGATTTATTGTCGTTTATGGAGGGAGATGTTTGTTCACGCTCCATGTTGATTGAACGCTCTTTGAAAGCAATTCCATTCAATAATAGAACTGGAGCGATGATACGATGTAACAATTGTCATAAATAACGGCTGTCTGATATGTTGTTATACGTAAAGATTAAACAATTCTTGTACGCTGTTATGCCACATAGGGATGCATCAACGATTTCGAGATATCCCGGAGAAGATAAGTAGTCGGCTTAGCGCTTATCAAACATGAATGTAAATAAATGTTATCTTTCGTGCTTAAAAAAAAGCGTCATAACAATTGAATATGTCCAAATTCTTGCAAAAGTAGTTCAACAACAATAATAATGACGTTATTGTTAACCAATATTAATCGTGGCAATCCCCACCAAAATAATATTCTTACGCATTTTGGTTTTCCAACATCTTTGATCTAAAAGATTAGATAGAGAAAAATGCGCCGCCTTTTCCCGTCTCGTGTGAACTTATCAAATTCTCAGTGGTACATAGTCTGCACACCAGAAAATGTACCCAATACCTGAAATCTGTGTGGCGTCATGTTTTAGAGATCAAAAAGATCAGATCATCGTTTGAAAGTGCATATATATATTCTATATTACGACTCTTGAATCCTTTCACTCTGGTTCTTTCTCACAACAACTGGAACAACAGAATTCGCAATGGTAAAAGTAGCAGTCCTCGGCGCTTCAGGCGGTATCGGTCAACCACTCTCGCTCCTACTTAAGCAGAATCATTCCGTTACCAGCTTGGCTTTGTATGATATTGTAAACACTCCCGGCGTTGCGGCAGACTTGAGTCATATTAACACACCAGCGGTCGTTACGGGCTATTTGCCAGCTAATAATGGTCTAGAGCAGGCTGTGACTGGGGCTCATGTTATTGTGATTCCTGCCGGGCTTCCTAGAAAGCCTGGCATGACAAGAGATGATTTATTCAAGGTAAATGATGCGGAAAACAAGTAGCAAGATTACGAGATTCTGAATGTTATGCAATCTCTTTTGCTCGTTCGTTGAGACTTTCAAACATCCGAATAACACATGTTTCAATGTACTGACATGACTGGGTGGTGATTGCCTCTCACTTTCATTTCAAACAGAAAAACGCCGACATTGTCCGTGGATTGGCAACCGCAATCGCTCAATTTGCACCGCAAGCTTTTATACTCATTATTTCCAACCCTGTAAACTCTACAGTACCGATTGTCGCCGAAGTGCTGAAGCAACGCGGGGTGTTTGATCCCAAACGTCTTTTTGGAGTTACTACTCTTGACATTGTTCGTGCATCGACATTCACAGCACAGATTTCTGGCGCTTTTTCAAGTGATGTCACAGTCCCCGTCATTGGCGGTCACAGTGGAGTGACAATTATTCCTCTCTTGTCGAAGATTACGCCCAAGTACGAATTTAATCATGACCAGATTGTTGCCTTGACAAAGAGGATTCAGTTTGGTATGTTATGATGAATAGCGAGTGAGACATTATGTGGTTGATTGAGAGAATTTCAGTGAAATGGGGGATTTGGTTATTGATGACATACGAGATTTGTTACGAATTTTATAGCCCCGTACTTTACTACACATTTCTACTACAATAGGTGGTGACGAAGTCGTGAAAGCAAAGGATGGTGCTGGATCTGCTACATTATCGATGGCGCACGCTGGAGCCCGATTTGCAAATGCCATCTTGGATGCCACTGTAAAAGGTGTTGATGGTATTGTGACGCCGGCTTACGTTTATCTTGGAGCCTTTAACGGCGCCAACGAACTCAAGGCGACTGTTGGCGGTTTGGATTATTTCTCTTCCAACGTTGAATTGGGGGTAAGTTTATTCGTGATCATTGCTAATTGATAACTGGCAGCCTGTTTATTATTGACGTTTTGAATTCGAGATTTTTTGTCGCTCTGAGTGAATCATATCATTATTTTTTTGTTAATTATCTCTTTTTATTTACATTCATTGGTCGCATTCTCTTTTAACATTATTTTCTTATCTACAGCCTAACGGCATCAACAAGATACAGAAATTAGAATTATCGGCATACGAGCAAGAACTTCTTCAGGCGGCTATTCCTGAACTCCAGAAGAGCATTGCTAAAGGTGTTACATTCGTTGAGGAAGCGTCTAAGCTGTAAAGTATCCTACAATCTCTTGCTGCTGCTAATGCTAGCAGTTACTATTTCAAAATTTTTTTCTGCATTTTTATCACGTCCTTATTTACACTCTTTTTATGCAGAACATGAACCAAAAATGTTAAAAAATTGGGCAAGGTAACACAAATGTAAAATAATTCAAAAAAAAAAAAGATTTCTTTCAAGATTTATTTTTTAAATAAAAAAACGAGTTTCAAGTGTATGTTAATATGAACAACAGTATTCGCGTGTTATTGTTATTGCTTTTTCTCGTGGATTTGATTTAATGTATTGGATCGATGATTGCATTCTGAATGAGCTTTTTTATAATAGTCGCACTGCCCGATGAAACAGATACAAACTTGCATGCAAAAACAGACGACTTGAAATTGCACACGAAATGCGTTACGCTTTATTAAGTAACATGACTAAATATTATAAATGAAAATGACTAAAATTATTTTGCGTCCATATTATTATAACATAGAATTAAATGTCTCTTTTTAACAGTGTGCTGGTGGACTGTTTGGATTAAAGTCAACATGGAAGTTGACGCTAGGGAATTCACATTCAGTACCGCTAGAGGTCTTTGCCTTCAGCACAAAGTGATAGTCGCCAGAAACATGATTAGCCTCCACATTAAACAAACCGGTATCGATCGTTCCTGGTCCCAACGATCCGCTCCATTGTGTCTTGGTGAATGCCCCACCGGAAGTATAGAGGTCGACTTCATGGACACTCGTAACGGAACTAGCTCCGAAATCGTAAGACACAGAGTAACATTGGCCTTCGGTCCAGACGAGTCCTGACGCCGTTGGCGATGTGATGCGGAAACCATCACACCCGTCGGCGGGGGCGGAGAGGGTAGTGTATGCCAATGCAGAGAGGATGACGAAAACAAGTACGAGCTTCATTGCGAAAGAAAAAACTATGATATTATTCGATCGGTTGATATTTGTTTTTGATCGTGAGAGATATATGTTGTTTTTTTTTTTGGAGCCTTGTAACAAAACGAGCAAAAAGAGATGAACGCCTGGCTGACTGAGGTCTTGGAAAGCGACTTGGCTCTCTTTTTATATCTTTGAATTCAAGGTCTGTCATGAACGTCGCGCTTACTATAAAAAGTCATATGCAAGAAAAATATCAGGAATAAAAATAACCGTCAAAAGACGTGAATACAGTACCTCCAGGGTGTAGTAACAATAAAGCACCTCGGGGCGCGATTTTGCTAACTGCGAATGGATACTGGTCCGTTCGCTTTATTGGTACTTCATCATGTATCTCGTAATAACGATACGTTGAGAATTTCCCCTAAGAATAGCTCGGGAGAATATCTATAAGACATATATGTCTTTTAGCCGGATCTACATTTCCCCTCAAATATTCGATTACCATATTTCTATGGAGATATCTGCCATGACGAAACTGAGCGTAGCGATCCTGCTAAAAGCAGAAGATCTACCGAGCAGATGACATTCTATTAATATTGCATGTATTAATCCAAATTTGGCAAGTCACTATACAATAATAGTATAATAGGATGTATTATGCTCCCGATTTAATATAATTTCAACCTTTGGGATTTGCTGTTTATTTTTATGTATTAGATATTAATAATACTCAATGTAACGATTCGATATGACAAAAGGTATTGTGAAATCACGACAGCAGAATTATTTATAGTAAACGACCTTGTTTTGAACGACTTTCCATTTATTACTAGTTCCACGTACGGTAGTGGTGCTCATTTCGTAAGCTTAGCTACAACTCTAAATATAACTGTATTGGGCTGCTGTCGTATTCTTGATATTTTTAGGCTTAATTAGACTAAAAATTGCAAGGAATATTAAACAAACAAAGACATTATTAACACGCAGCGTAAAATCAATAGGATTGATAGCTGATGGCGATCACAATTCGTTATAAACGTAAATTAACGAATAAGACTATACGTATACTGGGTTACATAACGCTGAGCGTAATTTGTTTTGTGGTTTTTACCTTGCATTGTTCTATTTTTAGCGCACAATTTATCTAAGAAATGGCGTGAGAAGTCAATAAAGTTGTGCTCTTTATTGGTCAGAAGACGTCTACCGACGTAAGAATTAACGATACTTTTACAAGATAAGGTTAAACGCGCTTCTCATTTAACCAATATTTGTCTGTGGAGTAGCATGGCAGCAACATCTGCACAAATCGGCGGATGTTGCAACTTATGCAATAAACGAAGGTGTAGTATTAAATATATGAGTTGAGACAGAAGAAAGATCAAGTATCTTTTCAACTTAGATCTTTCGGTAAAAATTATCCAATAAGAATTAAATACAAAATTTTCCATGTTTATTGTCTTTTTAGTAAGTATTTTACGCATGTAAACATAATGCGCTGTCGCGCCAATAGATTACATAAAATAATAAGACATAACGATAAAATGAGAACTAAAACAATGTGCATATTTTACCAATAATTATTAGTCGTAAATTGACGTATTAGTATGTTGTATTCAAATCTTAATATTTGGTTCAAAATCTATAAATAAACAACTACGAGATATCTCGTAGTAAATGATTAGCAAGTTTAAATCAATATAGTTTGGACACGTGTTGATTTCTTTACGCATCTTTAATTTAATAGTGTTTACACGCTTATCTAGGATTCGTGTGTTTCGTACAAGCTAACCATTATGGGATAACATGCTTACATTGAACTATGAGTATTTCTGTCTAGAAATAAATGAACGTTCTCAGCGTATGATAATTCTTACTCGTCCCGTATATTTAACGGAACAATTTTATTCTTGTTTTATATTGTGTTTATTGGTGTATTTAAAAAGTAATGTTTGTTTTTTTTAACGTAAAAAAATTTTTTATCAAAATTTATAATCTTATAGTCTATTAAATTTAATATAACTAAAATTGGAATAATCATAAAATACGCATGCTTTTATGTAACAAGAGGCAAATTTATTATCTCATTGTCGAAAAACCGTAAGGACCAACAATACTTTATTTTCGCTTCTTGAGGAAATTACAAAAATACGACTCAAATCTACTAAATGTAGAAGGAAAACAAGCATTGTCTATTAACACATTAGACACTGCATTATTGCTACGTTCACAGAATAGATAAAGACTAGACTCGTTCTGGATAGCCTCGCAAATAAGTGCTGTCAGAAAAAAGTCAAGAATTTTGTTGGTAATAAACCTACACATTTTTATTAAATATTAGCCAACGAAAATCGGCATTTCTCTTGAAAAACTTTCCTACATTTTGCATAATGAGCTGAGCCTCTAGAAAAAAAGGTAAAGAACAACTGCACGCATCATCATGACAATGCAAAGCAGCGAATATTTTCACAACAAACGAGCAAAACCTTTTCTCTACTTGCCATACAGTCCAAACCGTTTTCCTCATTATCTTTTCTTACGCCTCTAATATGAAAGAAAAAAGATTTGACAAGATCGAAATGTGTGGCAAGGCTGTTCAGGTAATTGTTGAAACCAACTCAAAAGCTGATTATAAGAAATCTTTCCAGAATTGGCAGAATGTTGTATGGATGTTAATGGAGAGTACTTTGAGGGAATGAAAATAAAGGTTCCCGCGCAAAATTATTGGATTAATTATAAAATGACATAGCATTGTTAAATTGGGTCAGAGATTTCATTGCATACGTCAGCGTATAAACTTTCAAAACAGATTCGATGACTACCAAATAAAGTACGAAACGCAATTTTAATCATAAAATATTAACAAGCTTGAACGCAAACTATTACGCAATACGCGGCATTATCGATGCTCCTCACACTCTGTTTGTAATCCTCAAACAAATGATTGTTCTGTCCCCTGGCAATAAATAGTCATGGGGAATGTCTCCAACACAGAATGTAGCGATTAAAATGTTTGATCACAACAAGTGCACTGAGACTTGGCGCTTGCATTTAGGAGTATATAGAAATCACGCATTATAGGAATATTATGAATTCACATGAATTAATAATATACGGAATAATTTCGGTAAACACACTCACATGACAAAAATTCGGCGAATTGATTTTGCACCATATTGAGAGCGTGCGTTTTCAGACTTGGACTGACTGCGAGTGTATAACACTGCCACGTACAGAATAGGATGTATTAATCGCATGAGTCTAATGTCATCTTGTTTGCTTGTTCTGCAGAACCCAATTTCTTTTTTCGAGCTATGTAATGTCTTTTCCCCTTTACCGATCTTACTCCAAAAAAGGATATACTTTTTTGGGAGGCTTTGTTTGCCGTCACACTTTACACAAGGTTTATATCTTCTTGTCTTTTCGATATTTGCCTCCATGGCCAAAAATGCGAGCGTTCCGTATAAACAATTTGTAGAATCAGGTAATCAGCTTGTAGTGGATGATAAACGCAATGCCGTAAACATATACTGTTCACGACCATCCTGCCATTCTTTAATAATGCGTGCAAAGGCTGGACAGTTGGTTGAACGACCTAAATCAAAGGTTCAGCGATCGTTTGTAATTCAATATTAATATGCTTTATGTCGTTATCGGGTTCCCAATGAACCCTCTCCCTCTCTCCCCTCTCTCCCCTCTCTCCCCTCTCTCCCCTCTCTCCCTCTCTCCCTCTCTCCCCTCTCTCCCTCTCTCCCTCTCTCCCTCTCTCCCTCTCTCCCTCTCCCTCTTTCCCTCTCTCCCTTCTCTCTCCTCTCTCCCCTTTCTCTCCTCTTCCCCCACCGTTATCTTACCTTGAATCTGTGTTGTTCAATTTAATTAGCTAAACATAACCGACAACGATATATTGGCGATAAATGACACCAGTGCGGAAGTCGAGGAAATGCAGCAATACTGGCAGCTGCCAAACATGATGGCTTTTGAAAATATTGGGTTTTCGAACACGGTTGCAACTGGGATAAAGTTCTTAGCTTGCGCCGACTGTGATACTGGGCCTCTCGGATATCATGATACCATAAACGAAACAGAATGTTACGTTGCTGTGGATCGGGTTGAATATGCGACGGGCACATGATGGGCAAGGACAGGAAATGTAGTGTTTAATTAATTATAAGGATTATGCGTGTTTAATTGCAGTCTTGTCACTTCAGGCTTTGATAGAGAAAGAGTTTGGTTTATCGACCCTTTTTTTCTTTCCTCCCACGTTATCAAACGCAATTTATGCGTTTTTAGAATTACTACAGTTGAATAGAGATATGACTCGGTTATCGTATGAATTACTCAAGGCTGAATCATCTTTAATAAAAATATGGAAAGTTGTGTCTGTGTGATTTTATTCTCGATCAGTGGAACATGGATTATGGTCTTGCGAAGAAGAGAAGCACATCATAGATACAGATGTCGGTCAATAAGAATAATTAAGATGTCTCTATTTACACCAACAACGCTAAAGCTGATGAAGGTGAAAGTGTCCGATAGATGGAATGATTCCCAAGCTGCATACTTGTTTATTAGATTCAATCTCGCGGAGGGCAATGACCATTTTTGAGAACTTGTGGTTTATATCAATCACTCTGACATCAACGTCGGGAGTCAAAGCTAACTTGCCCTGGGACATCGTTTTTGATGACTATATGGTGCGCGTTGTCACAATAATTCACTCAATTGGTTTTCGGCATACCTTGTTGAGACTGCTCCTAGCTCACCGATAGTCAAATTTAATGTACACGAATCTCGGGACTAGTTTCTCTTGAAATTTTTATAATCGTTATGCGTTGTAACCATATCGTCGAGACGCTGGAGGTGACGATGCAAATAGATCCTTTTGATGTCGTATAAACTCTTAACCATACGACATGTGGCCTGTCTTTATTCGTTTCATAATGCTATTCAAAGATTCACTTTATCAAAAATCAATCACGTCCTTACATCTTTCAATTTTTAAAGATAATTGCAACTTCCAATATTTAAAAATCAATATTTTTATCCGCGCTTTTGTACTATTCCGACATTCATGCGCAACATGACTCTAGAGGTTATTTCATAGTTGCTCGTCAAATCATGGCGATCGCGATTCGTCACTATAGGGCAAACTGCTGAAGCGAATAATCGTGACCGATATGAGCTCGTTTAAAGATCATGTGATGTCATTAGTGTAATTGATTTGGACATTGACTTACGCATAAAGTCTCTCAGGTATCACAGGATGCTTGAGCGGACAAATTCATTCATGCCAACTTGAGCAACCAAATTCAGCATGGTCGTACAGGTTTAAGTCGGATAATAGGAACTTTGGTTGTGAGCTGACCTTAGAAAACCTGTTCGCAAAGATATTGGTTAAAAAGCTTGTACACATTTTCCGACTCCGATTACATATAAAAGATCTATCGTTACCCTGCAACACGCAAACGCGTCTTTTTTTCTTTTTTTTTTTTAATTCATAAGTCGACGCACACTTTTCTAAAACGCAAAAAATTGACGCGCCAATGTTCCAAACAGACATCAAGACAGAAGATTCAAAGACATCTATCCAACAAGTGTCCCATCTAGTTTCATCAAGACTCACAAGTCAAGAGCAACTTTCTAGTCAATGCGCACCGCGTCCTTATACCAGTGAAGAAGAGAAAACGATTCAGAGTCACTTGAATAAAAAGCTCGACCCACACCTTGTTTCTTACCGTCCCGGACCAGGTAAATAAGTGACACATAGAAGGAAAACATAAAGATAGTCGGGTGGGCTATCGATACTATTTTTATGAATTCTATTTACAGGCCACGCTAGAATTGCATACATTGAAGGACGTCAGGCCATCAGTTTAGCCAATGACATATTTGGGTTCAATGGATGGTCTTCGAGCGTCAAGGAACTCACTGTAGACTTTGTAAGACGTGAATTATATAACAACTGACTTGTGTATGTAGAAAGTTTGCTTCATAATCTAATCCCGCATGTTAGGTCAACGAAGTGCCAGGAGGTAAAGTCCAAGTAGGGGTTTCCGTCCTTTTAAGAATCACCCTGAAAGATGGAACCTATCGAGAGGTAAAAATTGAACGCCGTTTTTCGCTTTGCAGTTTGACCAGAACGCCTCGATAATTTAGTATATTGTATATGATACAAGGATATCGGATACGGCGCTGGTGAGTTCATTAAAAAAGCGGACGCGTTTCAAAAGGTAAGTTATACACATTAAAGATAAAACTTCCCCACTTTTGTGGATACAAGAATTAAACGGGTGTCTTTTGTCAAGGCCAAGAAGGAAGCTACAACCGATGCGTTAAAACGCACTCTGAGATCGTTTGGTGAAATATTGGGAAACTGTATTTATGACAAACAATACCTTCAAGAAGTTGCTAACAATAGACGTAGATGAGCGAGCGTAGTATGTCTGAATGCATCATGTATATTGTTTAAATGCTCGGTAAACTGAGAAATGTTAATGTATCCAATTGACTGATTTGAAATAAGAAAAACTGGAGCGAGTATGTTAATAATAAATCGATTGCTTCAAATTTTTAATTTACTATTTTGGGCGTTGCATATGACAGTGGGTCGCACAGATCGAATGTTATCACATGCAACCGTGGTAAACACATTAACCCGCGCGGGGCAAAAAAGTTAATTAGAATAATAATAATAATAATTTAATTTCTACTTGCGTGTAAGAAAAAGTGGAATGCAAAAATTGTTGAAAAGAAATGAAATCATGAATATTGAACAATTTCCTTTTCCGTTGTCTCTTCCTCCAACTCCTCTTGAACGTCATACTTTCTGAATAACCCGTAAAATACACAGGCAGTAATAACCATAATACCGGCCAACAGAGAGTACATGTAGGGGAGATAAGGATCTACTGCCAAAGGAACTATTGCATATCCTAAGATTGATCCGAATGCTGATGTTGTTAGGAATAATGCTGTAACTAGAGACCTCATCGATGGTGGAGCCTAGTATATACAATAAGTACAGGAGAATATTAGTATCGTCTTCTGCGTGCTCGGCTGAGCTGCAAAGTTTTCATATCATACCTTCCGGTAAGCATATTCTAAACCCGTGATAGAAGCGAAGACTATAAAAAAAAACAAAAAATTTAGTTGGGTGTTGTTTGTTGACGGATAGATATCATTCATAATAGGAAACTTGGACATACTTTCTGATATAGCAACAATTACATAGATTGGGATTTGCCAGTAAACGCTTATATCATTAGGGTCACTGCAACCAGGGTGGTTATAACATGGACCCGTGTTATATATGATTCTCTGCAATACTGCCGAATATCCCATAGCAACCGAACTCAACAAGAACCCAATGAAAATTCTCGTAACCGCTCTTAGAGCAAGACCCTTTGATCTGAGGAATGGGTATATGACCTTTTCGAACAATGGGATCATAAAGAGCAGAGTAAGAGGATCAAAATTGTTCATAATGTCATTCGGCAGTAATCCAGTACGCATAGTCGCCGCTTGACTAACTAAATTATTAGTCATCTGATTATAGCAACACCAATAGATAGGATAGAAGAGAAACACCCGACACGCTTTCAGAGCAGATTTCAAGTCATTCACAAAATTATCGTCCCAAGTCACTCGATATTTCGTACGAAGATTAACCGGAATATTGGACGCCTTTGCATTTTCCATATTCCTTCCTCGCGCAAAAGCAACTTTCATTACGCTGAACGAATCCGCGATTACAGACGTGCTCGGTGGCGCTTTATAATAAGCTTTTCTTGCGCTGATGAATATGAGTATACCCAAAACCATCATGATTGTAGGAATCAAATACGCCAACCAGAACGAATGATACTTTTCGATTAATGTCGTTATTATCGGCGCAAGTCCCCCAATGTTGATGGCAAGATAAAACCAGGCGAATATCGTCTGAACCGTAAGTTTAGGATCGGCAATGACTCTCTCACCCGACGGAAGTACTTTGACATATGGATGCTTTGGCCTGTATTGATCGGCTACCATTGGCCCAACGTTGCTCTTTATGCCTCCGGTTCCAAGACCAATGATCATGATGGCAATGATCAACCCGGGGAGTGATGCACCTTTAGCGATGGCGGCCGGAATCGATGTCACCGTTAGCACCACCAGCCCAACAAGGTATATGAGTGCAAATAAAACGATCGTCCTGTATTTTCCTAGATATCGATCGGCCATCACGGCGCCAAACAATGGAGTGCTGTAGCAGAAGAATAAGAAGAATAAGTTGATACTTGTCGCCGCTTGTTCTCCCCTGCCGATTGCGCCGGGTTGACCGCCTGCTTGTTGCGGAGGGGGAAATTGGATGTAGTTTTGCATCGGGCCTTGGACGCCATAGAAAGTGAATCTTTCGCAGAGTTCGCAAGCAACAATGTACCAAGCGGCTGTTCAATGATTATTAAGCGGAATACGTGTAAGATTATTAAAAAAAGAAAAGAAAAAGTTAAAGAGTGGGCTAATGTTAGAAAATGTACATACTCGTAGGGATATGGTCGGCCACACGTCGTAGTTTACTCCAGTCGTCCCTTGTTGGCGTTTCGCCTAATTTTTTGGTCTCTCCATCGTCGACAAAATCGTTTAATTCTACGTCACTCATTCTCGGGTGATGAAATTGCTCTGTATGCGTTCAATGAGTTTACTAAATGTTGAGCAAAGGCGTTCAATAAAAGCTGAATATTATCGCAAATGTCGCAAGCGTGTGCATTTTAAACATGTTGGCAAGGTGTTGCACTTTTACATACCTCTTTCGTTTAATAGGGGCTATAATTGATAATGACAATGTACGTCACTGCCAGAAATGGATCGTCATCCTAACCAAAATTGTCGTCATAACTCTATTTCTGCATAAATTCGGGATTAAAATTTCGGGGATTCGCGTTTTGATACATTAGAGTGAATTGACGAGTTAGTGCGATATTTGCATGTCGGCAAATCATCTTTTTAATAAAAGAAGAGAAGAAAAATGACAATATTACCCTTACAAGAAGACAAGTTATTATCATTTTATTAAGCTGAGAAAAAAAAAAAGATAATATCGTCACTCACTCATATACATACTCACACACACGCTAGTACATACCCCGCCCATTCGCATGCTAACCCTCACATATACTCTCTCGTTCTCCTCACATTCTCTCACGCTCACACACATTCTCACACACAAACACTCTAATATTCCACGTACAGTTTAAGTGTGCCATATAAATTTTTGACAAAGGGCAAAAAGTTGACAACAAGAGTTTGACCCGAGCATCTTTTCTCACGGCCGATGTACATGGCACGATGGAAACGAGGTTCGGAAACAAGAATGATCGGAACACAAGACAACGATGTACTACTAATTATAATGTGCAAAAGGTTAGCATATCTATTACGAACAATATTAACCTAACTGTTACTATTATTGTTTAGCTCTGGGAATAGTAATAAATAGCTTATCGCGCGCTTTTCTATTTTTAAATCGCTTGTCTTTTTCCTTTCCACCTTGTAAACATGGTTAGTTGTTGTGTATCCGACGTCGGGCGAAATGTCCAATGTCGAACTTTGGCGGATACCAATTAGGTAAACAAGGTAATGATAAAGCAAGCCCCCTGACGGATATTGGCCTTATGACGCGATATTTGATAAAGATTGCCACTAACAGAAACCCTGTTAATCGAAAAGATGAGATAAATGTAAACGATTTAAACGGGCGTCTTTTAACGGTAAGCAGCGAGATAACACTAACAGCAATTAACGCCTCAAGCCAAAACCGTTGTGTTTTTACTGATCCTCGTTCATCTGACATGTTACACAGCGGAAATATAGACTTTCCAGGACTACTCGTCGGATGATCGTTATGCTGCTAATACTAAAACGAGAAATATATCTTCGTTGTGTAACATATCGGAGATTATTATGAACAATATCTAATTTTCACATGCAATACCAACAGACATATACAGCAGCGCATTTATGCAGGCCACATGAAATCGCAAAAAGCCTCAACGTCGCCTGTGTGGTGGTAAAGCATGCGTAAACGACAGTCTAGTTTTCCGATATGGGCGACAAGTAATGATGTATTCGGACGTCCAGTGAATGTGACTAGTTTGATTTAGACACGTTTATGTGAAAACTGTGATTAGAAACTTTAGCTCATGCACACGTGAATTAATAAAGTAGCGGTTGTTTGGCATATTGCGTTGGCTTGACCAAAAATGGCATTACAAAACTTAAAATGTTTAGTCGGACAGAACATGCTCCGTAAATACTTTGATTATTCCTGGAAAAGGTGGGCTGTAAATGCATGCAAAAGAAAATGTTGCAATTACCGAAACGTCTTTCTTGTTCAAGATCAGTAAATGTCTACTTGAACTACACATGGTACAAACAAAGTGCGCATAATTAGCCAACAGATAAAAAATGTCGATAAAATGGCGTGCTTATACAGCTGTGTTGATTGTTACGTTATTTTTTCACATTAATAAATCATACACAAGTTACAGTATTGGAAAAATTGACTTTATTTTCCACACCATCTTTGGTTAATTGCGAACCATAAAATGATCCTAGTTGGTTAACAGTTATAATAAGCTATTATAATTATGACAACTAATATTAATTGCGCATATTCCTCCCCTAATATCAATTGCATGATTCTGTGTCACAATGACTTTTGGCCCTTTCCAAACTTACAATTTTAGTGGGGAAAACATCGGCGATGCGCTGTTGAAAATTGAACACGTTATGTCGTTTGTATGTTTGAATTCACGGTTGTTAACGAAACTCTCACTCATGAACAAATTTGTGTGAAATTATACAGAAGCTCTGCTTAAAATTAATGATTATTTGCGAATCCTATACCGAAACTCGCCAAAAATGAAAGTCGCTGACACCCTTACACTGTTGCTATGCCAAAGCTACTGACCCATTTATTTTGCCAAATAAACTTTAGCTTTATTTTATAATGTCAGTTAATTTGACGATGCGGATTTTCTTTCGTTAGTCGAAACCGTCAGTTTATTTTGACGTCATGCCATTGTTTTACTAGATGACGAAATTATCGATCGTATACACAGTATTAGTGTAGTGGTACTACATTGTTTTTACTTCACTCATTCTCAAAAGCGAACGAGAAGTTATGGCGATTGAGGGAGAAAAGTCGAGAAAAACTATGTTAATTTCTCAAGCATACAGTCGCACCTCCATAAAAGAACCCTCTATAAAAGAACGTCATATAAAAACCTCTTCACAAGAACATTGCATCA